TAGTCACCTTTGGCGACTCCTCTTTGAATATGCAATTCCCACATATTAAAAGTTCACAACCACTGAAAGTGGCAGATACTAAATTACACTAAGGTCACGAAATTATCGATGATTGAAAGCAAGACTATCCTTGATATATGCCCAGAAAAAATGGTCGGATTGAAAAACTACTCTATGGCTCTATGTATACAACTGGCCCCCATTTGATCGATGATGTGAGATTCTATCATGGACGCCACCAGATCTAGTATATTCAAGACACATGGTGTCGATAATAATTATACTTATGCCCTGCAATAGTCAAATACGGCGTTTGGATATATTGTCTCTGACTGCTACTAGCCAGAGCATCAAAATTCTACATTAAACTCTGTGGACTACCAAGTCATACATACCAACTCTCACATGGCTCTACGGAGAAACAATTGCAAGCCCAAACAAACCGGACCATCACCATCGCAAGCCAACTCAATTGCACAAAACTCTAACAGCGGAAGAACATGAAGTTGGAACAGGGTCTGCATGACTTAATTCCAGAAGAAGATACAATTTCCATAGAAAAGGTGAAGAGCTTGTTGCCGCGTAGCTGGGGGTAATGGCAAGAGGCGAGATGAGCCAATGACAAAATCACCTAAAAAGTCTCAGGCCTGGACCGAATTCAATGTTTTTGGACGGGATGCTTTGTTCTTCATTCATCTCAAGGATTTCACACATAGTTACATGGCGCCATGCGGATGCACGCGCCGGGAGAATGGAATGGTTAAATTTAGAAATGCCTGCTGAACTGTTGAAGATATATTCTTCTATTTGAGAAATCCAGTCAATTAGGAACGTAGATGTAGGATACAGCATATTTTGGCTTCGACGGTCACCAAAATTATCCGTCGAAGAAACAAATTGTCATTATTATTGATGATCTGTCACGAACTGTACTTGAGAATGTTGAGCTAATAAACAATCGGAACCTCAGACTCATTAGAGAATTACGTAATGCGTGACTATGACTATACAATCGATGCTACTTGCGGTGGAACAGTTCATGAGAAATGAACACGCCTTCTCATCAACCCAACCACCTACAATGAACCTACATAACTCCAATACGTACTGAGAGTTCTAATTAAGTTCAGAACTAGCAGCGATCTTGACCGTCGGATGAAACTTGCGCACATTTTAATGGATAAAAAAACCAAATCAATCAATAGTTGGCACATGCTACTCCGACATGGAAGTTGACAGAAGAATACAAAAAGCAGGCATGTATCATGGGGTCATGGGCTCATGGCATGGGTAAGAGACTCGCCTTCAGCTAAAGGCATCTCCAACAATTTGTATGTTAGCTTGTTGGCAAAATATGTCATGTCATCAATCAACATCTTAATATACAACAACTTCAATGGGTTGTATCTAGTTTGTCCAATAGAACGTGAGATAATAAATAAGGTGCTCTCTCATTCTACATTGGAACTTGTGCAAGGTATGTTGGTTCATGTACATACAACCTTTCTCTCTTGGATGGTCATTACCCCAAATTTCTCAATTGGCTGCCTACTGAATTCTTTCCCCTCTTGTGACAATGAGTAGCCTTTCCCTTGTCCCCATGTGGATTCTACTGTTACCAGGCCCCACTAGTTGACGTTATTGTGGAAAATCTCGGTTCCAGACGCCCTAAGCATGCATCGATGTCGACTGAAAGAATCAGTATTGTAATTTATCTGATAAAAATCTGCGCATATATTGGATCGTTGGTGCACATCTTTTTTTCGCAAGGAGGTTAATTATCAGGAAAGAAATTCTAAAGTTATTTGTTCATAGATTTGACCCCTCATCTCTGCCTTAATTCTCTGAAGTGTTGCTTTCTGATCTGAATTTATCCTACTAGCTAGTACGTTAGATAGGTAGGACACTTGCATGTTTTGAAGCCAACAATTAAGGGCAGAGCTAGTCTCCGCTGCTAGTATACAAACAAAACTGATTAATGGCACATAAGCATGACATAGCTTGGGCGTCAACTTGAAGCTTCCCTCTCGTCATTGCTGTCACTTACTGAATCAATAAATTAATTAAGGACACGTTCTTCCTGTCATTTCAATGTGCTCGTGTGATCGATCTGTTCCATGGAGGACCCAACTACCCTGTGGGTTCTACTTGCCAAACTCTTGGTAACCTAAACAATATTCCATTCGTTTCGAATTACTTGTCGCGGAAATGGATGTATCTAGACGTATTTTAGTTCTAGATACATCCATTTATGTGACAAGTAATTTCGATTTCTGTGACAAGTAATTTCGACCGGAGGGAGGGAGTATATTTTACCAAGATCATCCAGGCTAGATATAGGTTAGCTACCTCTTCCAAGATCGCCATTCTAGATATGCACACTTTCTGATATGATCGATGACCACTACTCATGTCACTGGCTGTTTTGCAGTATGGTTGTCATCAAAACTGTTTGACTCCATCGTGTACGCATTGTTGATAACTTCCATTTGAGACCATGTGCATTCAAAGATAAAGAGGCAGGTTGCAAAGTCGCGATTGCTGCATATGAACAAGCTATCGGCCGTCTTAATTTTGTGTATACATACTCTCTCCGTCCGGAGACACTTGTCGGAGAAATGCATAAAAATGGATGTATCTCGAACTAAAATACGTCTAAATACATTGATTCCTCCGTTCGACAAGTATTTCTGGACGGAGGGAGTATATGGTTATATCCGTACCCTACTTGTAATTTCTTACTCTTCTTTTCTAATGCACGCGTCTCACAGATGATGGTTTCTTTTGGAGTACAATGCAATTCTTCCTTTACAACAACTACAAACTAGGAATCATTTGCAGAAGCAACATATATAGTCCCTTGTTTCATGAGCATATACATAAGGTCTAGGCTCTGCGGACTGCATGTATATACAACCTCCGTCACAAATTACTTGTCTTAGATTTATCTAGATATGGATGTATCTAATGCTAAAACATGTCTAGATGCATCAGTGTCTACAAGAATCTAAGACAACAAATTTGGGATGGAGGGAGTAATATAGATAGATATGTACGTTAGATACTTGGTGAAGTCACATAGGTCTACAGGTCAGAACTTTTCCGATCGTACAACTAATCACCATGTTCATCTCCACTCAAGATATTATGAGTCGATGTTCCTCAAGAAGCAAAAGAAGGGGTTGACTTCCAAATTCTGATCCATACGTAGGCATGAATGCATACTACCGTAGTGCCAATTTTGTATGTCTCATTGTAACAGCTTCCAACTCATACGTAGTCAAACAAGTATATATGCAGATGTGCCAATAAGAAAACTCAGAGACGAAGACATATAATCAACTGCCTATAAGTTTGAAATATACTGGTTGTAATTGTAAACACAAAGATCCAACTAACGGATGTATTGAATTAGTAATGCCACTTGTTACCTAGTAGAAAAATACAAGTCCTTTGGTTTTTCTTCCGGACAAAAAGAAGAGGAAGGAAACTTGACAAGCACCAGTGGGATTACCTACCTCTTGAATTGCTGCAAATTTCAATCCCTGAGCCACCTAACACAGTGTGTAAAGTCCAGCCCGTGCGCACATATTCAAATACCAACGGCACTTCAGCATCTAAATGGAAAATTAGGCAAATTAACTAAGCTTGGATTAACAGGAATAATGTTCTTCTCTAACCGGGTAAATGCTGGATGCAGTTATTGATAGTTTTAGAGTAGAGATCGGCTCTGTTGCAAATAGACGACGAGAACATGAATTGTAAGCCATGAAGGTTTCAACGCATTGGGATCTAAAAAGAATGGTAACACTAGCTAAATCCATGATAACTGTAAGAGCACCAGTGGGATCACCAGAAGAGGCAGCCAGAACTATACTCACACGGCATTCTAGGCAATCGGCACAACTAACTTTGGATCACATCACCACACTTTTTCTTAATCCCCATGAGATTAGCCATGATTAAGGTCAATGGTCTTGCATTTGTTTACTGTGTTGATATGTTGATTTCCCAAAGAATGCCATGCAAGTAGTCCACTACTGAACATGCATGCCTGTGGAAGAGGGGAACCTTGGATCTAGGGAGATTTATCTACGTACTTATTGTCTAGCTAGTCATGGTCCAAGCCTTGCAGTTCTAGCCCAGTTTTTGATGATAGATCTGGCTAGCTAGCGAGAAATCATTAGTTTTATTGTCTTTTTGTGATTTCCGTTAAAAAAATGAATTTTTGTGAATAAATTCTTTTTCTGACCATTCTTAGTCTAATTCATTATTCTCTGACATAATCACATAACTACTAATAACAAGTACGCCGTCGAATTAAGTGGACTTTTTCTGGCAGGAAATTCTTACTTATGTAGAAGACACATGGGCCTCGCTGTCCTCCCTCCCCCTCTCCAAATCTCATTACATGGATCAAAGACATATTGTATGAGCGATTATGACTGAACTTCCTCTAACGAACGGCCATACAGGACTGAAATTTGGTCAGAAAGTGATTCCTTGCTTGACGAAAGAGTCTCCCGCTCTATAATAGTGGGCCCAGGCGACGCCGACGCCGAGGACGAGGACTCGCGGGAAGCTTCATCAACGCCAGAGGGGGGCAGACAGCAGCAGCATGTGGCGCACGTTGAAGCCTATTCGACACACGTAAATCTCAGTCTCCTCCGCCGATATATGGATTTTTCTGGCTCTCTGCGAGTCTTCACCAAAGAGTGCGGCTATGTTTGACATTTCTGACGCTGACTGCCTGATCAGCGTAGGTAAGCACCGGCGTACGGCGTTTGTTTATGCCAAAATAAATCCAGTCCAAACAGGAGAGGGGTGGAAGAGAAGAGAAGGTCGAGGCCATGGTCTATCTAGGCGCCTAGCTAGCTGTCTATATATAACAAGGCCATGGCAGGGCTGGTGCTAGGCTAGAGAAGAAAGGATTGGAAGCCTAGAGAAACTGCAAGGAAGAGTATGAGATAGCTTGTCTTCTGTGGAAGGAGATCGAGTTGATGAAGGGAGACCACCAGAGGCAGCTTGGCGGCCATGAAGAGCGGTTGAAAGATCAGGTTTCAAACTGTTTAATTACCTCTTGATTTTGTGTGTGTGCTTTGACATGCTTCAAAGAGTTTGATTATTTTTCTTGAATATGAGTGTTCATCTGGTGTTGGATAAGTATGGTAGGGCTAGTGGTAAGGACTTGGCTGAGTTTCTCTCTTCTATGAGATATGGTTCTTGATCCATGTATCATGTATGAGAACTTGAGAAGTCAGGGACTTCTCTTTCTCATGTCAAAATCTATCAGGTGATCATCTTTAGGGACCACAGATCCTGGTGCACGTAGAATAATAGTCAAATTAAACATGTGGATAAGCCAAGAAATGGATTTTTCCACAGCTTGTCATCCAATAAATTCATGCTGTTATGAATTGTTTGCTCATCTTATACTAATATATTAATATCGACTTTCATGTTGGGGTGTTGCAGATGAGAGATGAACATCGAGCCTCGGATGGCAATTTTTTCAAGTTCTTGCAAAACCAGTCAAGCACAAAAAAAGAGGTACATAATTATCCTTTAAACTGAAACTACTAATAAGTAGCCTTTAAATTTCTTAATTACCCTGAAATTACCCAACAAATTCAAGAAAAAGAACCTACATCTATTAGCTGTATATATTTCACTATAATTTTGTCCATCTTCCTTGGTAGTTCAAAACTAGTTAGTCTCCGGTAGTCAGATAGTACATACACACCAAGCCAAGTGGCCAACTAGCCATAAACATATGTGATTTGCTTCACCAATGAGTATATAACTAATAACGGGTCTCGCTGTTGTGATGCTTTTATCGATTCAGGCTCAAGAAGACAAGATTGCATCCACGAGGGCAGAGATGGGCGAAGTGAGAAAAGAGAACGAGAGGCTGAAGACGATGCTGTCACGGATGGTGGAGGACCATCGATCCCTTCAGAAGCAGTTGGATGTTCTCCACCAGCAAGGGCGGGGCAAGAACCTCGCTGTGGGCTCACCGGCGCACACATCGCCTTCCAACGACGTCAAGGAGCCCGGGTTCGCCTCTTTGCGCCTCGGAACGAGTGCCGGCACGAGCAGGCAGAACATGGGAGAAAAGATAAAGAGAGGCACTAATAATCCAGAAAGCAGAGACATGTCTCTTGAACTATCACCAGGCTGCAAAGCTGTTGGTGTAGCCGGTCAAAGTGAGACGAAGGTGCATCGGGATGCGCTGACGTTGAGCCCTGGAGGCAGCTCCAAGGAGGAGGCCGTGGAGACGACGACAACGTCAGCCGCAGCGAGCAAAATGGTGAAGAACCCGAGAAGCACCGGCAGTGGTGTGGAGGCGGAGGACGAAGTGGCCCAGCAGCCACTGGCCAAGAAGGCCAGGGTGTCTGTGAGGGCTAGGTGTGACACGCCAACGGTATGTACATATATATATAGATACATACACAAGTGACTAAGCAATGAAATGTTAAATGGGTGAGATGGAAATTCATTATAAAGATTATTTGTGTTTGCCTTATATATGAAACGGAGTGAAAGGCTGTTTCAAGAGAACATAAATGATTTGTGTGGTTTGTTGGCCTTAGATGAATGATGGATGCCAGTGGAGGAAGTACGGTCAAAAGATATCCAAAGGGAACCCGTGTCCGCGCGCCTACTACCGCTGCACCGTCGCAACGGGGTGCCCCGTCAGGAAGCAGGTATGGTTTGCATGATCATTATCACAAAGTAAAATTCTTAACTGATGTTTGGTAATTGGTACTACCAGTATACTACATGGATCAGTGTACTGTGCATCTGAAGTCCTCGGGCGATCAGTGTACCTAACATAAATATATCCATGCTAAAAGTTCTCAAACAAAATTAAAGTAACCAAGTTTCATGCCCATAGCATACCTCTCACATACCACAATATTTCAAATATAAGTGATCAGCTTAAGAAATAAATGTAACAGATTCAAATAATGTGGTAGGTTAACATGCACATTCACATCACTATTTGAACTGCTTAGTGTTCGTGGCATGATTTGTCTTTTTTTTAGGTTGCGAGTTTAATTTATAACTGAAATTTCATGACATGATAGATGTAAATTGTGTGTGCGTGTGTACTCAATTATTTACATGATTTTTAATAACTTTTGGCATGGATTTTCTAAGCAGCTGCACAAGGACTTCATGTACAAATGAGTGTGCACATTTGTGCGCTCGGTATAAGAAAAAACAATCTTCCCTTTGGTAATAGCAGTGGCAGGGATTTGCACTTGAACTAATCAAGTTTGCAAGTAAAATTCTTAACTAATCATAGATGCTTTAACACTTGCGTAGTCACGCTCATATTTCTTCAATGACATGAACACACAATGATGCAGAGGCCGGAGGTCATCCTCCTTTTCTAAAAAAAATGAACACACACTGAACACAACATCCTTCCTGTTAGTAATTTGTGACGAATTAGCGCAAAACTGATAGCCTTTTGTTAGGTCTCGCAATTATGGTATTTTCAGCCGATGCTTGCCATAATTGTGATAATTTTTTTGCTATTTACTGTCACCATGGTCACCAAGACCATGCATTTATGTTTTTCCCCAGGTGCAGAGATGTAAGGAGGGAAATTTCACATATTTGACCTGAGGCCTAAATCAATTCACAAATTGACCTGCTTTCAAAAAAATTTCACTCTGCTGACCCTTTCGTGTGGCGCCCGACAGCTGGGCGCCGCACCCTACTGTGCAGCGCCCATCACTTAGGCGTTGCACATCCTGCCAGCGTGGCAGCCCTGGTCCAGTTGCGGCCCCACAGACAGCACTGCAGCGCCTAAGACTTAGGCGCCGCACTGTGTATATTGTAGCGCCCGTGTCTTAGGCGCTGCACGTTGACTTAGCCCACATCGGGCCAGACCGTCCCAGGCAGTTCTTCCAGTTGCTCTGTTGTCACAGAGAGCGGCGGCGGTGGCGCCCCCTTCAGATCCCCCCCACACCCCCTCTCAGATTTGAAGTTTTGAGGCCTGGATTCGATCTCCAATCCTTCCTAGTACGTAAACTCCTCCGTTCCCTTTCTTTTCCTCCGTAAAATCGTTCGGTGTTCCAGATTAAGTTTTTTGATGTAATATTGCAATTGGAGATGATAAGTCATCCATCTCAGGAGCCATTTCCTGGTCTGACCTTCAAATGTGGAATCCTTTTCTCATCAATGGCAAGTACTTTGAAAACAACTATCAAAATTTTATTTAGTTTTACAAGTATGCAGAGAGCCGACAAGGCAGCAATGCTATTGTTCAAATGTGGTCAAGGCAGGCTTTCGGTGTTTCAGAATGAGCACACATTCATTGCAACCAAAAGAATTGGTAGTCATATCCGGTAGTATATGATTCTTGTTGTGATGGAGGATGTGTAGTCATATCCGGTGTTCATATCCGGTGTTCATTCGTTAGGTGGAAACTCTTTCGGTGTTGTGATGGAGGATGTGTAGTCATATCCGGTAGTATATGATTCTTGTTAGTTAAACCTAGATTGTTTATTTTTTTAGATATATATGAGATGCCTAGTTTTGTAGATAATTATGAGATGTTGAGTTTTGTAGCTATATGTGAGATGTTGAGTTTTTTTAGATATATACTAGATGTTGAGTGTTTTCCGATATTTGAGATGAACTCATGTATGTTTATTGTTTGAAATTGTAAGGATGGTTTGGCTTCTGGACGATGTCTACGACGTGCAACACCGGTCCTACATGATGCGCGAGAAGGATAAGGTAATAATGAGTACTCTAAATCTTTTGCAAATTTGCCTTTAGTTGAAATTTACATGCCCTAAGATTTGTCATTGCTTGTTTTTTGCAGAAGCTTGAATCTCTGAAGATTCGGTATCACGGGGTCTCTGGTCCTGCCATGCCTTATGATGAGCGGTACACACCGTACATCAAGCAGGCAGGACTACTCCCGTGGATTCTGTTGGTCAGCCGGTCCACGCCGAATCTGAACGCTCCACTGGTGTCCGCTCTTGTTGATCGGTGGAGGCCAGAGACCCACAGTTTCCATCTTCGGACCGGGGAGATGACCGTGACGCTCGAGGATGTCTCGTTGATCACCGGTCTTGCTATCGACGGGAGGCCTCTATGTATGAGCACCGATTCTGATGGGTGGCGCGATCAGATGATTGCTCTTATCGGTATGGCTCCTACCGAGGCTGAGGATGATGTAGAGGAGGGAGAAGAGAAGAAGAAGAAGAGGGAAAGGAAGGCAGCTGGAGCTGCTTTCACGTGGATTCAAAATAACTTTGCGACGTGCCCTCCGGATGCAACTGATGATGTGATCCAGACACATGCTCGTGTGTATATGTGGTACATTGTGTCGAGGACTTTGTTTCCTGACTCCACTGGCAAGAACGCTCCATGGATGTGGCTGAAGGCGTTGACCGTCTTCGATAGCAAATGGAGCTGGGGTTCAGCGACTCTTGCCTACTTGTACCGACAGGTAGTTGGTCTGTTTTGTGATCAACTCATTTATTCATTAGCAATGCAAGCTTGCTGTCAAGTTAACATTGTTTTTCTTTCATATGTAGCTGGATGATGCGTGTTGCAGGATCACACCTAGTGCAGGCATTGGTGGTAATCTGCTTCTACTTTCTGTATGGAGCTGGGAGCGTCTGCCTGTTGGACGCCCGAAGAGCGTCAGGTTTGATCCTTGGTATGCAGATGAACATGACGAATTACGGCGCCCCACGTGGGCTTACAAGTGGGATATCATTTCCGAGATGACGAACGATGTCAATCTCATGTACCAAAAGTACATTGCCGAGTTGGACACGATTACGCCTGAGCAGGTAAGGAGGTCATTACTTTAGTCCTTTCTCATGCTTGCTTGAAAAATAGTTATCAAATTTGCATTGTTGCCCTGTTTCATAGGTGGAATGGCAGCCATATGGCGCGGGTGAGAGCTTGGGGTACACCGCGGACTTCCGCCTCAACCCGATGTGCTTGCGGGATAAGGATCTCTGGCTTATGCGGTGCCCATTGATATGCAACTGGGCGGTTGAGTTTCATTTGCCGCATCGCGTGTATCGTCAGTTTGGTCTTTTCCAGCCTCACCCGCCGGATTGGGTGGACACGGATAAAGCACTTCATAGGTAAGAGAGCATGTGTGTGTATTGTCTAATCATCGGGACTCCTTTTGATTGTGCTAATGTTTGGTTTTATACCACGCAGGTTGGACAGGAGAAGGCAACGGAAGATAAAGGACTGGGCCAAGCATCATTCTGCGTATGTTACCCGCTTCCAGCTTTGTGTGGAGCAAGCTCGTAGCACTGCACGCGCCCCGCTTCGTGAGCACAACTCACTTGCTTTTGATAACTACGTACGATGGTTTATTGGAACTACTCGAGTTGAGATATGCCCGCCGGCATATAATGAGGATATTCTTAAAGAACCCGTAAACTTTGAGGATCTAGCAAAGGGGAAGTACAACAGAGATGTCAGGCTAGGGCAAGGAGTGCCTGCTGTTCCGGTGATTAACTATGTGGTAAAGTGTTCCCCTCTTTACTTTCCTGTTGACCGTATTACACATGTTTGAATGGCTAACGCATTCATTTTTTCTCATCCGCAGCGCACCGAGATCAAGAAAGCAGCTGATGAGAGCCAGTCTATTCTGGAGAAGACACCGGTTGGAACTGGCAATGATGATGGTTCACTACGAGCATTCCTCAAGGTACATATCGCATTCACTATGAGAGCCAGTCTATGTTGCGAAGTTTGATATCTTACACACTTGTTCATGTTACAGTGTCAGGCCAAGAAGTTAAGGCGGTTATCGAACCTTCTCAGTTGCCGTGATCCTGAATATGATGAACCATCTGCCTCTAGGTCTGGTACACCATCAGACCCCGCACCTCACCATGAGGGGGACGATGTGAGTTCCTCATATGCTTATGTGGATGATGAGGGTGGGATCCCCAAGAGGTATGACTAATCATTTAGATGTGATTCTCACTTGATTACGACATCGGCCTTCACCATATTGTTTCGTTGTGTGATAGGGCGATGAGCTTGATGATGACATGACTTTGGCGGACGCTCAAGCTCGGTCCGCATATGTGTTCAAGCCTAGGCAGCCCAGACGCCGGTACACGCCCAACGACTATGACAACAGAGGCAACCCAAAGGTGGTCGTAGGGACCTCGCGGATGGCTAGATTGGATGATGAGGCGGAGGAGGAGGCGGAGGCGGAGCCACAGGCGAAGGAGGAAGTGCACGAAGAGGAGCCTCTTGGAATGGTCCTGATGCTCTCTGGACTGGCATGTCCATGTGTGCAGCGCCTAAGGTCAAGGCGCCACACTGTGTAGTGTGGCGCCTTGACCTTAGGCGCTGCACACCTGGACATGCCAGTCCAGAGAGCACCAGGAGCGTTCCAGTAGCTTTTCCACCACAAAAACTGCTAAGTCAGTGTGCAGCGCCTACCCGTTGGGCGCCACACTACACAGTGCAGCGCCTTGCCCTTTGGCGCTGCACTAACTGATGTTTTCAAATACCTACTGTTTTTTTTTGTTTTGTGATTCATAAAGATGCCACATAATCACATCCAAAACACAGAAATACTAGTCCAAATCACATACTCATACACACATAGCACATATACTTGTGCAAATCACATAGGGTCTCACATAATCATACACGGAAATATTAGTCCCCTCACATACTCATACACACATAGTCATACACACATAGGGTCTCCATGTAGTTTCTTCTTCTTCCTCTCTTCTTCTTCTTATTCTTCTCCCTCCTCGCACCACCAAGGGGTCTCACCTTCCCCCTCCGTGTCCTCCACCCCCTTCATTGTTTCCATACCTACGAAAATGGCAATATAATAGTTAGTCACACAATACAAAATGACAACACAAGCATTGAGCCAAAAGAACAAGATCATAGTAAGACACATACGGCAATGGTCCATTGAGCCAAGAGAACATTCCTCCACTACGGCCGCCGCCAAGGCCAAGATCACCACCACGGCCTCCACCAGCACCACGGCCTACACCACCACCACCGCGGCCTCTACCACCACCACCACGGCCTCTACCACCACCACCACCACGGCCTCTACCAGCACCACGGCCAAGACCATCACCACAACCTCTACCACCACCACGGCCAAGACCATCACCACGGCCAAGACCATCACCACGGCCTCTACCACCACCACGGCCAGAACCATCACCACGGCCAAGACCTTCACCACGGCCTCTACCACCACCACGACCTCTTCTAAGACCAAGTTGACTCCCTCTTTGTTGCCTAGTTCCTCGTTGACTTGTTTGATTTGAGTGGTTTGGCACTCCACCACTTGTTTGACTTGGTTGGCTACCCCTTGGTTCACTTGGTTGGCTATCATTTGCTTGGCTTGTGCTTGAACCATTTTTCTTTGATCTCTTTCTTGGTTTGGGACAAGTTCTTGTGTTGTGTCCCCCATTACTGCAGCCCCCACAACGGGATTCCTCACGAGGATCTTGGAATTGGCCGGTGCCGTATTCTCCACCGCCACCATGGCCCCATCCGTCCATGTCACCTCTAAGACGCTTAGTCTTACGTCTTCCCCGGCTAACGACCTTCAATTCCGGGTCCGGCCATAGTTGAACTCCATGATACTCCGGCCATTGTGATTGGTCCAAGTATGGCTGGAACCGTGGAGTCCATGTCTTCTTTACCGTCATGATTGAGAACTCGGACTCCCTCACGGTTAGAGGGTGATTGACGTCCACATTCCTAACCCGGGATGCATTTAACAAGTGTGAGCATGGGAGATGAAGCAAAGACGGCCTCATGCAGCTGCAATCACACCGTGTTAGGGAGACCTTGAAAGCCCAGCCTCCGTGCTGGCGGCCATCATTTGTGGTTCCTCCGGGCTCTTTCACCTCATACTTCCACTCGTTGTCGTCATATAGAACAGCTTCTTCGGAGTCTGCCTTTCGTGATTGAAATTCCAACCATTCTTCAACCTTTGGTGGGAAATTGTACTTGTGCTTATCCTTGTTCTCACCAGCAATCTGCTTATCAGTCTCCATTGAGTGCTTCAAAAAGTATTCATTCATCTTGTCAAATATGTATTGAACTATTGCCGTCACGGGTAATGCACGTACACCCTTGAGCACCTTATTGAAGCATTCTGCCATATTGCTTGTCATTTGACCGTACCTCCGGCCATCTTCATCGAAAGCACGTGCCCACATATTCCTTTCGGCAATGTTCTTATTGAGAAACTCCTGACCGCCGGGGTCAAGTTTCTTGTGTCTGAGCAATGCATTGAACAATGTGGAAAACCGCTTGTTGGTGAAAGCGAGACAACAATCCTGAAGATCATCGGCCAACTCCTTGATACCACATGCCCTATAGAAGTTTGCACAAAAGTGCCTCATGCACCATCGATGATGCAACTTTCTATGTCCGGGAATGTCAATCACCACCGCATTTAGAATTCCAGCATGGCGATCCGATATGACACAAATTTCCCTTTCAGCCGGTAATACCCTTGTTCTCAGTTGACGCAAGAACCACTCCCAGTTATCATTGTTCTCCACCTCAACCAAAGCGAAAGCCAAAGGCAACACCCGGTTATTGGCATCACTTGCTATTGCAACCAATAAAGTGCCCTTGTATTGTCCGGTCAAGAACGTGCCATCAATGGCGATGACGCGCCGACAATGCTCAAAAGCCCTCACGCATTGCTCAAAGGCCCAAAATGCACGGCCAAATACTCGGACGGTCCTCCCGTTATGAATCAAAGTTTGGTGCCCATGAGGCTCAACCACGTGAACCATGCCTGGGTTTGTGGCGGCCATAGCTAACAACAACCTAGGGAGTCGGTTGTATGCTTCCTCCCAATTGCCATACAACATCTTGAATGCGGCTTGCTTCGCCTTCCATGCCTTGCCGTACTTCACCTTGTAATGAAAGATGGCTTTCACAAGGTCAATGACACTCTTGATGCTCATTATTGGAAGTGTGGATATTTGGTTGGACAGCCTGTAAGCAATGAACTCAGACGTGAGTTGTCTGTGTTGTTGGTGCACAAGCTTGCCATCCGCATTCTTGTGCCGGCACATGTGAGTTGGTAGACAACTCACTATGCGCCAAGTGGGACCTCCTTTCCATGGCCTTGCACGCACAATCCATGGACATGTTGGCACTTCACATTTGACCGTGTAACGCACATTAACATCCGAGTTGGCCACTTTATGTGGACGATAATGTGTAACCGAGTAGTTGTCGAGCCACATCTTCAATTCCAAGAAGGATTGAAACTCACAACCGGGATATATCCCGTTCTTGC